CCTTTTAAGTGTTTTACAAAAATGTCACACGGCTTCACCTGTCAGTATGCCAGAATCCAAATGCCGGTTTTAATTATACCGAATATTTCATTTTCTTATGCAGAGGCATAATCAATTATCTTATTTAAAGGCATTACGATAATGCGTGTGTAAAATGGATCCCTTCCCTGTGTTGCATTAGATTGGACTAATTATAGGAGAATGTAGTAGAGCTAAAATGTCAGCCTTGTCATCTGGGCGAGGCGAGTAATTCATGAGTTGCATTCAAGGGAGTGTATGTCAGGCTGAGGAAGGGAGGTGAGGCCTGAGTTGGCTTCTGGCCCAATTGGGCCATTGTAGCCTGGTGGGAGAAGTCAGGCATCTCCAAGGCTTTCTGGAATAGGCAGGAAAAAATTGAGACCCAATAGAAATGCAGAGATCAGAATAAATGCAGCCCATCTTATTGTCAGTGTTCTTAGCAGGCTGTAGCCTGATCCTTCTTCTACTTATCTTTCTGCAAAAGGAAGGCACAACTTGAAATCCCTTTCCCCATAAAACAAACAAATACATGTTGGTCCTGCATCTAGTGCCCTTCCAAAAATGCAAATAATATTGAAGGAGAAATGATCAACCGCATAGTGACTAATCACATTAACTGCATCAAGCCCATGTACATTTTGATGAAGTAAGATGAAATTTAGCTAAGCTACTGGTCTCATCCATTGATCTCACACATTCATCATTGTTCCATCTACTAGTATCACTGCCCTAATTGCTGTGGCAAGAGAAGGGAGGGGAGAGGAAGGGAGAGGAGGAGTAGAAGAAGAGGAGAAGAAGAAGAGAAGAGTCTTCGACCACCCAAATACACTCATCCCTAAATTCGGAGGCTCGGAGGTCACCTAAATATTTTCTCTTGCACACAGTTACCTAAGACAGTGTTTCTCAACCTTAGCAACTTGAAGATGTCTGGACTTCAACTCCCAGAATTCCCCAGCCAGCGAATGCTGGCTGGGGAATTCTG